GGCATCGACAGCTGCGAATACGTTTTCACGCTTGAATTCTACTGATGTATCCGTAGCCCACCCCCCTTCCGGTTCAGATGCTGCCAGCTCCCCATCCCCTACATCTTCCTCTTACTCTTCTCCCTCATTCCACGGAATTCCACCGTCGCCATCAGCTTTAAATCTCTCGTCTCAGAATCCTTTCACAACTGCCTGCCTTCCTGATGACATGGCAATATCCCGGATGGAAATCCCTGCAGACGGAGCTAAGCACCTACCAGAAGCTTCTTCGACCATTGCTTCGCTCTTCCAGACATGTGCAAGCCCATCTATCGCTACCCCTCCGGTTTCCTTCCCTGCGACTCTCCCCGCATCCTCTTCGTCACTGTCTCCCGCCCTCGCTTCCTCCAGGACCTGCACCTTTTTCCAAACGGCCTTTTTGCCTTCCAGCCCAGCGCAAGATGCCGCCAAAAGTCTCGTTTGCACACTTAGCGATCAAATTTCCGGACCGGTCAACGAGTTTTTTCACACCGCTCATCCGCACACTCTCCAATACAGCGCAACTGCTGACCCCTCTTCAACTCTTCTTTTCACCCCTCTGCCGCTCGCTGTTCCGCAGCAGGTACCCGACACGCTGACTAGCAAAGACCAGTCGCCAGGACGACATCAAACGTCATTTGCCTCAGCTGGACATCCTGAAAGTATGGAGCTCTCGACAACCCTCACAAAACTCTTCGATACGGCACGACCTGCCACGGCATTGTCCTCGTCAGGTGCAGCGCGTGAGGGTGAGGAGGAGGAGACGAAGGACGCTCAGCCCTCCACTACCGTCACGAGGCTCTTCGATACGGCAAGACCTGCCACGGCATTGTCTCCGTCGTCCTCGTCGGGTGCGGCGGGTGAGGGTGAGGAGGAGGAGACGAAGGACGCTCAGCCCTCTACTACCGTCACGAGGCTCCTCGATACGGCACGACCTGCCATGGTATTGTCTCCGTCGTCCTCGTCAGGTGCGGCGGGTGAGGGTGAGGAGGAGGAGACGAAGGACGCTCAGCCCTCCACTACCGTCGAGGAGGAGACGAAGGATGCTCAGCCCTCCACTACCGTCACGAGGCTCTTCGATACGGCA